GAAAGTTCTTGAAAGTAACCAATCAGAGAGTTATGAGTCAAATTACACAGCTTAAACCCACCAGAGTGCTCTGAGCCTAACTGCAGGGCGGGGCAAGGCTTTATAAGCCTTCCCCTGCCCTGCAGAGCTCAGTCTGCGCAGAGCACTCCATGGGTGAAGATGGATTTTTTTTTTTTCACTAGTTTTCTTTTTTTTTTTTAAGTGCGTCGGTTATTATGGCTTTTTATTTGCCCTTTTTTGGGGCTGAAAAAAGAAGATTTTAGAAGAAAGAAAACATCAAATGGTAAGTTTTATTTTATTTTTTTACAGGTACTTAGTTAAATGGTCCCCCCTCATTATTTTTAGGGTGAGGGGGGTAGGTAGGGGTTAATTTTTTTTGGGAGGGGGTGACTAGGGGTTTGGGGACCCCTAGTCACCTGGGGGGGTGGTTAATTTTTTTATTTAGGGCCCCCACCTGCCGCTCAGGGGTGGGGGCCAGGGGGGAGGACATTAGGTCCCCCCCTAATTAGTATTTAGGGCCCCCACCCACCGCTTAGGGACCCCTAGTCACCTGGGGGAGGGGGGATTAATTTTTTTATTAAGGGCCCCCACCCGCTGCTCAGGGGTGGGGGACAGGGGGGAGGACATTAAGTCCCCCCCTCATTCTTATTTAGGGCCCCCACCTGCCGCTCAGGGGTGGGGGCCAGGGGGGAGGACATTAGGTCCCCCCCTAATTAGTATTTAGGGCCCCCACCCACCGCTTAGGGACCCCTAGTCACCTGGGGGAGGGGGGATTAATTTTTTTATTAAGGGCCCCCACCCGCTGCTCAGGGGTGGGGGACAGGGGGGAGGACATTAAGTCCCCCCCTCATTCTAATTTAGGGCCCCCACCCACCGCTCAGAGGTGGGGGTCAGGCGGGAGGACATTAGGTCCCCCCTAATTAGTATTTAGGGCCCCCACCCACCACTCAGGTGGGTGGGGGCCAGGGGGGAGGACATTAGGTCCCCCTCATTCTAATTTAGAGCCCCCACCCATCGCTCAGGGGTGGGGGCTAGGGGGGAGGACATTAGGTCCCCCCCTTATTAGTATTAAGGGCCCCCACCCACCGCTCAGGGGTGGGAGCCAGGGGGGAGGACATTAGGTCCCCCCTAATTAGTATTTAGGGCCCCCACCCACCGCTTAGGGACCCCTAGTCACTTGGGGGAGGGGGGGGGTTAATTTTTTTATTAAGGGCCCCCACCCACCGCTCAGGGGTGGGGGAAAGGAGAACGGACATTAAGTCCCCCCCTCATTCTAATTTAGGGCCCACCCACCGCTCAGGGGTGGGGGTCAGGGGGAGGACATTAGGTCCCCCCCAATTAGTATTTAGGGCCCCCACCCACCGCTCAGGTCAGTGGGGGCCAGGGGGGAGGACATTAGGTCCCCCTCATTCTAATTTAGAGCCTCCACCCACCGCTCAGGGGTGGGGGCCAGGGGGGAGGACATTAGGTCCCCCCCTTATTAGTATTAAGGGCCCCCACCGACCGCTCAGGGGTGGGAGCCAGGGGGGAGGACATTAGGTCCCCCCCTTATTCTAATTTAGGGCCCCCACCCACCGCTCAGGGGTGGGAGCCTGGGGGGAGGACAATAGGTCCCCCCATTATTTTACTTTAGGGCCCCCACCCACCACTCAGGGGTAGGAGCCAGGGGGGCAATAGGTCCCCCCCTTATTCTAATTTAGGGCCCCCACCCGCCACTCAGGGGTGGGAGCTTGGGAAGGGAGGACAGGCTGTTCACTGTTTACTAGACATGCCCTTACTCGCGGTATAGCGAGTAGGGGCATAATTTACTAATACTAAGTAATCTTTACTTAGTATTAGGAAATTTGGCTGAAAGACCAATTTAGGTCTTTCAGCCTTTTGGTAGATAACTCCCTAATACCGTGGGAATTAGGGAGTTATGTACCAAGCGGCTGCAAGAGAAGTTCTGAAATTCCGAAGTTCTGAAGTGCCGAAATGCCGATGCTGCCGAATTTCCGAAGTGTCGAAGTGCCGAAGTTCCGAAGTGCCGAAGTGCCGAAGTTACCGAAGTTCCAAAGTGCAGAAGTTCAGAAGTGTCAAAGTGCCGACATGCTGAAGTTGCCGAAGTTCTGAAGTGTCAAAGTGCCGAATTTCGGAATGCTGAACCGAACCGAAACATTTTCCCATGCACATGCCTAAAAAACAATACCAAGTGTAAAAATATCTACATTTCTATTGAAATATAGATCAAATTAACCAGAACATCAGAAAAGGTTTGGGCATTAGGGAAAGGAGATGAGAAAAAGAAAGGGGTGACGTATTACAGTAGCAGATATGTAGCGGATGGCCTGTGACTGTCCGCCAGAATTATATGTTAAAAGACTGTTCGCTTGTTTTAACTGAATGTACATTGTATCTAAGTTCGTATGTTAGTTCGGTAGTTTCCTTCATAGTTATACGAATGGAAACTACCGAATGCATTGACCACCTTAGAGATGAAGTGTGTTCCTAGTTAAACCCTTATTCCCTTTTTAACCGCAGCTAATTGAGGTTTTATTGCTGTATCTGGGTGGCCGCCATTCGGTAGACGAACACGTGGCGGCGGTCATCTTACGCACGAACTCTCAGCTGTGTTTGGTCGTCGAGTGTCTGGAACCCAAATCGGACATTCGATTGTGTGAACACCGCTGAGACCTCCAGAGCTCCAGAACTCACGAACGGAGGGGCTAATCGACTCCTCGTTCGGTGAGTTCAATATACCGAACAAGGGGGTTCATGCGAACCCGGTATTATCTATGGATGGCAAGGATTTTTGTCTGTTTCATCTCCCGAATGAAGACCGACCGCAGGGCCATAATACATGGAACTCATTTCGGCTACCTATTTGTGTGCGGTCGGTCAAATCGTTTATTGTCTATAACTCCCGAACCCCTGGTCTGATCTGGGTGAATTTTGAGTATGTTGGTCACCCAGACCAGAGCTACCAGGGGATGCCACTTAGGTCCTGGTACCCCACGGTTTTGGGGTACATCCAAGAAACAGGGGAAAAGGTGCCAGGATTAAATAGATTAAGTGTCACTCTGAGGGGAGGGAAAGTAGGGGAGGGAACCTCTGTATCATTGGTTACTGTTGTAATTACTGTAAATCCCTCCCTTGCATGGGAGAATCCTTTATAAGGAGCTGCTGTGAATAAATCTTTAGTTCTGCTCCTGATGCTGTGTGTCGTCCAGTCATTGGGATTGCGTTTGGGAGATTGTTGGAGACTTTTTGCCTGCTGGAATCATTACTCTGTGGATTTATTATACTTGTTCCTGAGCCTTACTGGGATCTAAAGTGGCGATAGGCTATGCAATACTAGCTCTCCGCTACAAGATAAACCCCTGAATGTTGCTGCCATGTGCTTCCTTTAAGGGACACTACCGTCACCAGAACAACTAAAGCTGTAGTTATTCTTGTGTCTACAGCATGTCCATGTTGGCTTTTTAATGTAAACACTACCTTTTCAGAGATATTGATCGAGACTGCACAAATATATGGTTTTTCCCTGCAGAAGTCCATGCACATGGACAAAACGCATAGGGGATGATCTTTTATAATTGTTTTTACATTTATTGTTTATTAATTGTATGCTGCTTGTTGATTGGTTGTTGGTTTAGAAAAAGATCGTCAAGTGATGCATGTCCCTTTGATCAAATTCTAGCCCTACACTCGATAATCTTAAACACCCCCTGTACCCTTTTTCTAAATTTAAACCCCACTAACCCTAAAATGCAGATATCAGATAGATGCATATGTGTGTTCAGACATATTTATGCAATGTCCAGCTAATAAAATTATTTAACCTGTCTTTATCTGCATTTTCTTTTGGGGGAGAGTGGATGGAACAGGGGTTGCCTTGGAATGTTGTGCCTACAGGCAGCTAATATGTAAATCTGGCCCTGGTCTCATACCTGTATTTACAGTTTACTATTGAGCCCCAGCATGGAAGGGGGCTGCTCCCAGTACCCCTACCTACATATACAGGTCTTGCTCCACTCTGAACATTGCACCGTATATTTCATAATTACAAAAACACATAATTTGCATGAAACTGTATTACCCGCTGAATACAAGGTTTAACATGGTAATTATGGAAATCAACCAATAGATGGCGCAAATGTTTTATATTGATTTGTAACCATTTCAGGGGTGATCATCATCAACACTTTGTTGACTTATTACATTCACATAATTTTACACTGTAATTCTGGCATCTCATTATGGGTTGCGTTCCAGGCTAAAAGCAGGCAAGTATTCAGTGTTTGATACAAAAGAAATGCAGTTTCAATAATTTGCATAAAACATAGACTTATTATTTAATACAGTTTTTCACAGTAAAAAAAAATTGGTCTAGCAGAATCAATTAATCCAGAGCCCCCCTCCCCCTCCAAAAAAAACCCCTGTAGTTATGGGGTGGTTTGAAATTTGTTCAGATGGCATTTTCTGTTCAGTCAAATTTCATCCATATGAACGATGAGGGAAAATGTATTCTAACGCGCCACAAAGGTGAAAAAATGTAATTAATATTTAATATTGCAAAAATGTAATTAATATTTATATGTTACCGCTAAAGTGAGAAATCCGTTAATGTGCACATTACCTAGTTAATCAGCAGATTAATTGATTTGCTCCGTTAATGTGCGGAATCAAGAGTTTTGCGCACTTTACCTAGGTAATGTGCACATTAACGGCTTCCGTATCGTTAAAGTGCAAAATGTTTGTTTCTTTACCTCGGTAAAGAGGAATTATTTATTACAAAACGTCTTTGCAGAACCTGTCTCACCATTTCTGTGCAAAAGTTTGTTTCTTTCCCCCGGTAAAAGAGGAAATTTTTTATTACAAAAACGTCCGCGCAGAACCTGTTTCACCCTTTCAGTGGAGTCTCTGCAGAGTCGTTCACTTCTCGTCTGAAGGCAGAAAGATTCTGTGTGAACCTGTTTCGATTCTTTTTGTGAGCAAGTTCCTTTCAATGCCCTCCACCATCAAATGCTCAAAGCATAGACGCATGGCTTGTTGTTTCTCAGAGAGGGGCTGGCTACTAACAATGCTGCTCCGTAAGTCCGAAAAATACTCCTCTCATTGAGGAGAATGAAACCAAGGAGAGGTCTGCTCATGGACCACTGATTCCGACAGTCTTCAAATATATTATGATATTGAGAACAGTGGAGAGCATCTGCTGGGAACATTTCAGGGTGTTGCTGCATAATGTGCAGGAAGCGCTTGCTCTCTTGAGGTGGTGGGGCTCCTCGTTTCTTACCAGTTCGGGATAACTGTTTGAAGAGGTAGGTGACTGTGGTCCAGACAAGAACAGAACAGCAGCCTGTGCACACCATGGTGTCCTCCAGAGCTGTGAGCTCCTCAGAGAGATGGAGGACAGAATGATTTTTGCACTTTGACGAGTGCCTAGTAGGTAATGTGCAGATTATCTAGGTAATGTGAGAAATATTTGAGAAATGAAACAATTTTCGGCACTTTAACTGATCGCCCTAGTAAATCTGCAGATTAACTAGGTAATGTGCACATTAACTGCTTTCTGCACTTTAACGGTAACATATATATTTTGCAGCACAGTGGTGCATTTTCATGCCATTGGTTCATAGATCAAATGAGAAGTAACCAGTAGAGAGAAAAAGAGGAGAACCAGTAAAAAAAATAAAAAATAAAAAAATCTAAATTTCTATATGATATTTTTAGTAAAATATATATTATATAAATATTTTTTTTTAACTGTGCCTCCTTTTTCCCTTTGTTGCTTTTCACTTGATCTGTAAAAAAAACCCAACATTTTGTGACTGTCCCCTAGCCTTTAATCATCTTTTCTTCTCATCAATCATCTTTTTCCCCATAAATGTAGCTGTTTACAATGCATTGATTTAGAACGAGAAGGGAGTGAGTGGAGAGGAGGGTTTCCGAAGATTGCCGAGCACCAGGTGTGGGGAATACAAAGTATCGATACGGACTCATAGTTGGATAGAGCACTAACCAGCCAAGCAGTGGCAGAGTAAGGGGGGGGCAGAGGTGGCGGATCGCCCCAGCTGCCACCTGTTAGAGGGGGAGTGCCATTACCCAGGTCTGAGGGCTAATGGGGGATGTGTGAGCTGCGCCCCATGGCAGCTGGGGTGTCGCACAGCTCACAGAGAGACCAGCAAGATGAACTGGCCGCACGGAATGAATAAGTGGGCGGAGCTATGGACATTTAGGTGCGGGGCCAATCCGAGAGCGGGTGCGGAGATTAACACGGCCCTTACCCGCTGCTGTTGCTGCTGCACATGGAGGTGCAGCAAGAAGAAATCCCTGCTCCTCCACCTAACAGGCTCCAGGGAAGGACCTCAGGTCAGGGAATCCACTCCTCCAGAACACACTGTCTGTAAGTGAGTGAGTGTGTGTAACTGTCTGCCTGTAACTGTGTGTGTGTGTCTGTAACTGTCTGCCTGACCCTGTAACTGTGTGTGTGTGTGTGTGAGACTATCTGTCTGTAACTGTATGTGTGTGTGTGTGTCTGTAACTGTCTGCCTGACCCTGTACCTGTGTGTGTGTGTGTGACTATCTGTCTGTAACTGTGTGTGTGTGTGTGTCTGTAACTGTCTGCCTGACCGTGTAACTGTGCGTGTGTGTGACTATCTGTCTGTAACTGTGTGTGTGTGTGATTATCTGTCTGTAACTGTGTGTGTGTGCGTGTCTGTAACTGTCTGCCTGACCCTGTACCTGTGTGTGTGTGTGTGTGTGACTATCTGTCTGTAACTGTGTGTGTGTGTGTGTGTGTGTAACTGTCTGCCTGACCCTGTAACCGTGTGTGTGTGTGTGTGTGTGTGTGTGAGAGACTATCTGTCTGTAACTGTGTGTGTGTGTGTGTGTGTGTGTCTGTAACTGTCTGCCTGACCCTGTACGTGTGTGTGTGTGTGTGACTATCTGTCTGTAACTGTGTGTGTGTGTCTGTAACTGTATATAGTATAAATACAGATAGATTAAGTTTACTGGAAAGTGGTGCTACAATCACCTCCGTGTGCCACAAACCACAAATACAATCAGTGAATAATAAAAACAAACAAATTGGTGAGAGCACACTACATAAATATAAAACAATACCCAAATGGCAGTCAAATAATCTGAAAGAAAATCAGAAAAAAGACATAGGATAATAACGTCACAATGTAATAAATAACCACCAAATACTGGTCTCACTTACATAAGTAGAGCCACTTAGAAGTTGGCTCAAACTTGGTGCCTTGAACAAATAAGAAAGCAGGGCTTATGGCAGGAACTCCACTCTGCTAAATCTAGTACCTCCAAATTCATCCAGGACGCAGGATGTAGGGGGTTACAAATACTTTATTGCTAATAACAAATAAAAAATAAATAACAAGCAGAATGTCCAAACCCAATAAGTGATCCAAACTCAACGCGTTTCGGCTTTTAGCCTTCCTCAGGAGTATTCTCTATCTTCAAAGTGCTCCTCTGTTATGTCCTCTTCCATTTCGCGTGCTTCTCCCAGCGCTCTTCCGGTTCCGGCGTCGGCGTCGTGACGTCACCCCGCATCCTTACGTCCCGATGTGTACACTTCCGGTTCCTGAATACGTCACCGGAAGGACCGTCGGGGCGTCTAGGGATGACGCACGGCGTCCTTATCCATGATTAAAAGTCCGCCATAACTATTGAGGGCATAGTCTCTATTGATACCAATGTATACATATATCATTCAGCATTTAAAAGATCCAAACGGCTTAAAACACAAATATGGAATCCAATAATTAACAATCAACATATTCTAAATACAAGTCCATAAAAATTAAGACACAAGAAAATGTAATACTAAAACCACAAAATGAATAATATATACTAAGGAGATCTCCATGCTAAAAAATATTATAAAAAATATTATAAAAGACTCAGTTAAAATATTTGATATGAAGGGTCATTTTAAGAGAGAAAAAAAAAAGGGTAAAATAGATTAAATAAATTAATTAATATCATAAATGTAAATTTAGATCTAAGACTAACCGGAAAATAGATAAATTTACCTCTTTTGTTACCCAAAAAGAATACCCAATACGTTCTTTTATTACATGCACAACTAAAGACGTTATCTATATGTTGAATTGCCAGTGTGGTTACCAATATGTAGGTAAGACCTCACGCCCCCTCAAAATTAGAATTAGGGAACATATTTATAATATCCAAAGAAAATTTATAAATCATAGTGTTTCTAAACACTATTTAGAGGTCCATAATGGAGACCCTAAAGGGATTAATTTTATAGGTATTGAAAAAAACTAATATTCATTGGAGAGGGGGGGATAAAGAACGCACTTTAGGGTTAACTGAGATGAAATGGATGTTTGAATTAGAAACATTAGCTCCACAGGGATTGAATGTCGACTTTGATATTAATTCATTTATTTAATCTATTTTACCCTTTTTCTTCCCTTTTTTTTTTTCTCTCTTAAAATGACCCTTCATATCAAATATTTTAACTGAGTCTTTTATAATATTTTTTATAATATTTTTTAGCATGGAGATCTCCTTAGTATATATTATTCATTTTGTGGTTTTAGTATTACATTTTCTTGTGTCTTAATTTTTATGGACTTGTATTTAGAATATGTTGATTGTTAATTATTGGATTCCATATTTGTGTTTTAAGCCATTTGGATCTTTTAAATGCTGAGTGTATACATTGGTATCAATAGAGACTATGCCCTCAATAGTTATGGCGGACTTTTAATCATGGATAAGGACGCCGTGCGTCATCCCTAGACGCCCCGACGGTCCTTCCGGTGACGTATTCAGGAACCGGAAGTGTACACGTCGGGACGTAAGGATGCGGGGTGACATCACGACGCCGACGCCGGAAACCAGAAGAGCGCTAGGAGAAGCGCGCGAAATGGAAGAGGTCATAAAAGAGGAGCACTTTGAAGATAGAGAATACTCCTGAGGAAGGCTAAAAGCCGAAACGCGTTGAGTTTGGATCACTTATTGGGTATGGACATTCTGCTTGTTATTTATTTTTTATTTGTTATTAGCAATAAAGTATTTGTAACCCCCTAAATCCTGCGTCCTGGATGAATTTGGAGGTACTAGATTTAGCAGAGTGGAGTTCCTGCCAGAAGCCCTGCTTTCTTATTTGTTCAAGGCACCAAGTTTGAGCCAACTTCTAAGTGGCTCTACTTATGTAAGTGAGACCAGTATTTGGTGGTTATTTATTACATTGTGGCGTTATTATCCTATGTCTTTTTTCTGATATTTTTTTTCAGATTATTTGACTGCCATTTGGGTATTGTTTTATATTTATGTAGTGTGCTCTCACCAATTTGTTTGTTTTTATGTGTCTGTAACTGTCTGCCTGACCCTGTAACTGTGTGTGTGTGTGTGTGTGTGTGTGTGACTATCTGTCTGTAACTGTGTGTGTGTGTCTGTAACTGTCTGCCTGACCCTGTAACTGTGTGTGTGTGTGTGTGACTATCTGTCTGTAACTGTGTGTGTGTGTCTGTAACTGTATGCCTGACTCTGTAACTGTGTGTGTGTGTTGACTATTTGCCTGTAACTGTGTGTGTGTGTGTGTGTGTGTGTGTGTGTATGTGTGTATAACTGTCTGCCTGTAAATATGTGTGTGTGTGACTGTCTGTCTGTAACTCTGTGTGTTCTGCCTGTAACTGTGTGTGTGTGTGTGTGTTTGTGTGTAACGGTCTGCCTGTAACTGTGTGTGTGTGTGTGTGTGTGTGTGTGTGTAACTGTCTACCTGTAACTGTGTGTGTGTGTATAATGGTCTGCCTGTAACTGTGTGTGTGTGCGTAACTGTCTGCCTGTAACTGTGTATGTGTGTGTGTGTAACGGTCTGCCCGTAACTGCGTGTTTGTGTGTAACTGTCTTCCTGCAACTGTGTGTAACTGTCTGCCTGTAACTTTGTCTGTGTGTGACTGCATGCCTATAACTGTGTGTGTGTCACTGTGTGTGACAGTCTGCCTGTGACTGTGTGATGCTGCCTGTAACTGTGTGTGTGACTGCCTGTGACTGCGTGTGTGTTTGACTGTCTGCATGTAACTGTGTGCGTGACTGTCTGTAACATACTGTGTGTGTAACTGTCTGCAACTGTGTGCGTGTGACTAGCATCAGTAACTGTGTGTGTGTGTGACTGTATATGTGACTGTCTGCCTGTAACAGTGTGCGTGACTTTGTGTTACTGCTTGTAACTGACTGTGTGTGTGTAACTCTCTACCTGTAACTGTGTGTATGACTGCCTGTGACTATATGTGTGACTGTGTGCTTGTAACTGTGTGCCTGTAACTGTGTAACTGTAACTCCATGTGAGGGGGTGCAGGGATTTTGTAGAAGGGGC